CATAAAAACAACCTCATAGAGGTCATGGCCGATGAATATGCGCCAATTTTACCAAAAATTTTGCGAGTATTACTCGATCAAATGCCTAATGCCACGTCCAACGGCAGCGGCTTCTGCATATCTTTCACCTCTATCAGGTAGAATGGTTGTCGGCACCACCGCAATGCAAGTCACCGCCTCCTTCAAATTAATAAACTCTTTCCACTTATAGCCATTGGAGAGGCCTCACATCTTTTGCTAATTGGGGGTGTGCTTTGGTCTCCCTACCATTGTTAACGGCCAAACAGCACCCTTGCCCTACCTCATGTCACAAACTGCCTTCTTCACCAGATCTAGTGTCCAATGGAAGAGATATCAGTATGACTCTGCAAAATAGGTGCATGAAATCAAAGTGTGGAATTTGGAGCCCCTCAACAGAGCTTCTCTCTTCATTTGTTTGAGTGCTTGAACTGATTAATCAGGGAAATTAATTCACCAGCACTAAAGACAGGGAAGTTAGGAGGAGAATAGACTGCTGTGATCAGCATAGTATTTGCAAGCTACGATCAAATAAAATCAAATTACTTTGTTTTGCACTACCTTCCATAATTCCTTCCATCACTGAAAAAATTGGGCGTCATTAAGGCCCATTTTATTGCCAATACGTTAAGGAGCCCTTACTGCTGCCCATGAGATCTCATGAATCACAGTGGAAACATCCTAAATGTTTTAAGCTCACGAAAAAGACAGAACGATGAATAGGGCAGCAAAACAATCCTCATAGATGACTGGGTTGGCCATATTTGCTGACTCTGACTTAGAAGTTACACATAGACAAACAGAAAACTTGTAGTTAGATGGCCAAGGAGCTCAAGTGTAACGTCTGCAAATTGGTTGAATAAATAAATAAATAAATAGACCGTCTTAAAGGTTGATACAACCCTAGCTAAAAATACAGCCACACTGATTCTGTCATTTGCATAGGTAGGTAACCACATATATATGTAGAAGGTGTGTTGAACATTCAGTTAGATGATGTTGATGCGTCCCCAGTGTCTTGTGTTATTATTGCCCTCAAAGCAAAGCTGCAGAAAGGAATCGTCTCTCGAATTTGTGGCTCGTAGCTGTGGCAAAGGTGCATTAGGCATTCGCGTAATTCTTCCTGATTCCCAACACATAGTCCCTATCCATTGAAGATCAAAAGCACCTTATTAACCATTAAGCGTATATTAAAGTCCAAGATTGCACACACCTAGGCACACAGAAGAAAAGAGTAACAGTCCTCTTTGTGCACAATTCGCAAGTGCTGGGCCAAATGTTCGAGCTGTAAGAGACGTAAATTCTGCCTTTTTTATTGTTGCACGTGCCATGATAATAGGCGTTCTAGGGATGTTTAACTTCATTAAAGGTGCTGCCTTTTTGGTCTGTCGAATGACCAGGTGAGGTCCGTGATTAAAGTTGATCCAACTGGCAATATCGTGATTAAAATCCTGCTCTTCGAATACATTCCAACAAATTCTCTTGACTCTCTCCAGTTTGTAAATCACCTTTGCTTTACTTTCACGTAGGTCCCAGCACCAGGCAACACTGCCTGATGCAAATGCATCATCGTTCGCTTGTCTGCTAAGACTTGATTGTAGAATAAAAAAAAGTCTTAACAAAATTTGGGAATCAATTTTGATACGACTACGAATACACTCCAATGAATAGAATATATCAAAGGGCCTTTTCCTCATTACCGAACACTCATTACTGAGTCAACACGCCAACTACTCCTGTGGCAAAT